TTTTAAAGTGCTAAATATTTAAATTATAAGTAAAATAATAAAATAGTATTTATATATTAAATTTTTGATGGTTTTGATAGTCGATTTTGTTCTTTTTTTGTAACAGAACAAAATCAAAAATATATTTACAACGTTTAAAACATCATTTTTAATTTAACTGACTTACCAACCAAATTAAATTGAATTCAATCTTAAAAATGTCGATGAATAAAAAATTGAAGAAAAAACATTTCATTCATTTTCTGTAACAAAATTGAATAAATTATTTACTTAAGATATTTATTTTATTTTAAAATTAATTTTTTCAATTGACTTACCATTAAAATGTGAATTGCATTGGATAATCAACGTCTTTTTAAAATTTTCGAAGGTAAATCTTCGTCGATTGTCAGCTAAAACAGTTTTATACGTCGAAAAACTTCTTTCGACGTCCACTGAAGACACGGGAGCATACTTGAAATATGGAATATCTGTCACTGTTATATTTAGGTCCATATTGGGAATTGATTCACGTGTACCGGAAATAATATCTTTTATATTTTTCAATAATCCATATGCAGCATTTTTCTTGAGAACTGTGTTTAATTTATTATTGATTAATTTTCCTATACTCCCAGGTGTCTCAGATATTTTTTTTACAATTTCTTCAAAAGACGAAATATAATCGGCCAATAAGACGTCTTGTTTTTCCAAAAACGTAATTTTGTTTGGGATAAAACTAAAATGAGTTTTTATAAAAATTAAATTACCTTCTAATGTTGGTTCTTGAATAAGTTTTTTTACGTGTTCAATGGATACTGCATCTTCTTCATTTAACATATTTATAACTTCGCAAAATGCTTTGTAATTGTCACAGTAATATGTCGCAGCTTCTAACCATGTACCCCATCTGGTAATTATGGGTTGAGGAGGTAATGGTATTCCAGGAGCATTATTTTTAAAAATCAATACCCTTGAAAGTGCTTTTAAAAATATTTTTTTTCCATTTGAAATCAGTGAATCAATTTTTGGGAAATTTTTTCGAATTTCTTCGCAAACTCTATGCACTGCACATGTGATATGAATCATTTTTGTGTATAAAGCTGACAATGCTTTTCCCGCTTTCACCATGTACGGCGCTGCATCAGAAACAAATAGCAATACATTATCTCGTTTTATTCCTTCTGGCCATAAAAAAAGTGTTTCATCAAATAATTTACAAATTGTTTAATGGTTAGTTTGATCAAGAACTTCGGAATTAAAAAGAAAAGTTTTGCCTGGTGCATCAATTTCTAATGTTCCAATGATAACGTTTGCCACATAACGACCTTCTACATCAGTAGTTTCATCAATGCAAATCCAGATATTTTTATTATTTACGTACCTTTTAATACTATTATTTTTTTTTTTATAAATATCCGTGACGTAATTTTTTCTTAATGTTGATTCATTCGGGATATCTTTGTTAGTATATTTTATTAAAAATTCAGACAAAAATTTTTTATTTAATTTGCTCAATGGAATATTTGCAGATAACATCATTTTACACATATCTTCGTTAAAAACTGAATGCTTTCCACAAATTGCATTTGACACTAAATTTTGGTTAGTTTTAATCGCATTTGTTTTTTAAACGATTTACTGCGCGTAAATGTTTGGCGGTTTTTAAATGTTGATTTACCGTGAATCTTTTTTGCGAGTTTACTCGTATGTCACATAATTTACAAAAAAGAATCTGGTTATCGGTAGAAAAAACACCCTCGTTTTCGGAAACGTATATTTTTAAACGTGTAGAATTAGATGCTGGAAGTTTAGGCATATTGATAAAATTTATAAAATTAATAGAAAAAATAAACAAGACTTTAACACGCGTTGGTCGACTAACTCGTTATACGCGAACCACAGTACTAATATGACAAAAACATTTTAAACATTTAGTTCAATAAAATACGATTTATCTTATCGATTTTATGTTCCACTCACACAGTCACGCCATAATTTGTATAGTGTTACCTAACGGTCCTAACAATGAGCGATAGATTATTTAGACATAAAGACAAGTTACGATAAACACAAACAATTAATATCTGGCAATGCATATCTGAAAACAGATAAGATGAAAATTGTTCTTGTCCGCTATATCACGGGCGTTTAACATTGGGTGAACATTTACGGCGATTGAAAACCAAAATTTTTACAAATAAACTCAAAAATATGCATTAAAAATCCAAAATGCTAAAATAATCATGACTTTTAAAAAATCTTCAAAATATGCAAAAATATGCAAAATAAAAATAGCACATTTTTAATTCCCAGTATATGAAACAGATTTTTATCTTACTAAGCTATCTTTTGGACTCACTAAAAAAATATGCAAAATGCTACAACATCCTAACCCTACTTATAAGAAATAACCATGGTGCCTATGTAGTGTTTGAAGTACCTATGAAATATTCCACAAAAACGTGACACTTTGAAATTATTTTACACAAATAAAAACACCTTTTATTAATTTTTGTAACACAATGTTCAGTGTTCTAAATTCTAATGACAGAATTCAGTATTTATACAATAAACATGTATAATATTGTATACCTACTTGTATCATTTAAACATTAAAATATTTAAAAATTTTGAATACCATTTTAAATGTATAATACCAAAGGTTAAGTATACATACAGGTACTATATAGTTATGAAGGTAATTTATGACAATTATATGTAAATATAAAAGTTATTTAAAAATATATCAAAATACTGAAATATTTCATTTTTTTTAAATTTCATGACATTTTCAAACACTATGCCTATGTATCGTTAATATTTTAGCTATAATAAAATAACTTACATATTACATTTTTAAGGTTTTTGACCGGATAAATATAATTATGTTATAATAATTAAATATAATTTTTTATTAACATTTATATAGAAAAAAAAATTTAACTATTCAAATACAATCCAAGTGAAGACGGTATAACCAAACATTTAAATAAATTTTCATTTTTTTTTCTACAATTATTTTTAAAAACACTGAGAATTTTCAATTTCGACCCCCTAAAAGTACCAACTAGATCCAATTTGCTTCCAAAAATATACACTGCGCATCGAAGCTTATGATCAGAGCATTTTTTCTACCAGAAAGTTGAAAAGTTACAAAAATTTAAAAATACCTCAAATAAACGTCTGAAATTATTAAACTGGACAAAATAAAAATGTAACTAATGCTGTGTGCCTGTGTCATATTGTAATATGTAGAAATATGAGTAATTAAAAATGAACAATTAAGCAACTTTTAACTTATAACCTTAAAATTTAACTATAGATTAATCAATAGACATATTCACAAAGTTGCATTTAAATCTCAAGTCAAAAACCAACAATTGAATATTTTTAATGGCAAGCGGAAAACAAAAACATCCATATAATTTATGTTTTTTTTAATTTTATTTTAGTTGTTTATTATTTTCATTTTTGTACATTTTTTTTTTTTGTTTTGTTGCTGCTGATTTTTTTTTTGCTACTGTTGATGTTGTTGCTGGTGTTGATGTTGTTGCTAGTGTTGATGTTGTTGCTGGTGTTGATGTTGTTGCTAGTGTTGATGTTGTTGCTGGTGTTGATGTTGTTGCTGTTGTTGCTGTTGCTGCAGCCGCAGCAGCAGCAGCAGCAGCAGCAGCTTGTGCATTAAGCCTTTCAGCCTTAGTGACTGCTGCTGCTACTGCTGCTTCAGCCCTCCTAACAGCAATTGCGGCCCTGGCGGCCTTGGCCCGTGCTCCCTCCACTGCCGTTTTCTGGCAGGAGCCGGTACCATGGCCATTCCAGCCGCAATTCTCGCAACCTATGAAATCAAAAAAATTAATATATGTAAAATAACAGTGAAATGGGTTATTGTATACGTAAAATGTTAAACGTTAGTAACTCCTTTAAGATTATTAGAGAAAACACACTTTGACTACCTATTACAAGAACGTGGGATAATTTTAAACCGGTTTAGTGTAGCAAATTTCTATTAAGAGGACGCTACACCTAAAGCGAAACGAATAGAACGGCCGAGAGAACGCGCTGTTAAGTGTTTTCACGATGCGCAAGCACGCGACGTTTAAGCCACGCCCAATACTCGTTGTCGGCGACCGGCCGACGATTGTGCTCATTCGGGACTAAATCGGGAGCGATGTTTATTATTTTCTCAACCTTCGACTGTGTCGGATCGCGTAAATATAAAATGCAAGCACGTATATTATGACGTATTGCCGTCGTAATATTCGCGCATACCTATTCTCGGCATATATTTATTGCATTATTAGATACTTACTCCATACAAAATATATTATATAATACAGTAAATAATATCTACTTTATAACAGTAACCTAAACTAATATTACTTACCTAAATATCTAAATAGGTATTAGTTTTGTAGTAGGTTAATTAATTAAATATATGATTATACGTTATACTGCTAGCACATAGGTATACTTTTTAAATGACAGTTTTTGGGTACTTTTTAAAGATGATACAGTAGTACGTAAAAAAGCTATCTATTATTATTTTTAAGATTCTACCTTTCAACAAAGATACGATTACCGTTAGGTACTATTTTAATAGCATACTATTGAAATATTAAATATTCAAATTAAATTAAATAAAAAATACAGTATTGCCTATTGGTAATCATTTGTAAATTCTTTTGGAATAGAAATATATTTCCTACTTTCATTTAAAAATAAATCAAATATAGGTATACATTTTTTTTTATTTAAGAAATAACCCTCGGCAACTTGGCCATTATTATGTCGGTTATCATCAAACAATGTTTAAAAACTGGATCGACTATTTTGATTTTCGGATATCAAATTAAAACTAATATATAGTATTTAAAACATTATTATAATCACAATTTATTAATTTAAATAAAATGAGCAAATTCCATGTTTTAATTTATCTACCATGTATACATAATTCATATATTATGATATAATGTTAACACTATTAGATCATAAATTAAACTAATATAGGTATATTTTTATTTTTTGTTTATTTGGTGTTTAATGTGGTCAGGATCTCTAATATCACTTGTCAAAAATCGTTTTCCATACAGTGGATCGACAATTTCTGGCAGTAAACATTCTAAATAAAATCTGAAATGATAATATATTTTAGTTTGAATTATTCAATTTCCACTAAATAAAATGTTAAAGAAATTTCTTACAGTTTTAATTTGTCGACCATCTTAGTTCTCCAAAATACGTCATCATACTCAATTTTTTGGGTGTTTGTCCAATTCGGAGTGTATATCACAAAATAACAAAACTTCCGATTTGTTATTCGTAATTGACCTATAATTTGATAATAATACTTGTGGTCTTTTTTAAGTGTTAGTTCTCCGTTTTCTATACTGCAGTACTGTAACTGATTTTGAACAATATTATAAATGTATACATTTAGTAACATTTTTAACATTTTTTAGGATTAATATTTAATTTCATGTATACACATACACAATAAATAATAATAATATGTAATATTAATTACCATTTTCATTTCTACCGCTTCAACTGCATTTAAACTGTCTTTCGCTGCAAATGGACATTTAATTTCTAATATAGAATTTTCACCGATCAATCCATCTGAAGAACAAATATATTGCATACAAATTATTAGTTTAAAATTATGAAATAGAACAGTTACCAGGAGTTGCTGCTAAATAAGAGAATTCCTTGTCACAAAATAGTCCACATATTTGCACATGCACATTATAAAGAGTTTCAAAGTGAGCTCGTGCTAAAGGTTCCATTTGAATGCCATAAGTTGTTTGTTTACACGTTGTGTTTGGTCTGTACAATAAGCTGTATACTTTTTTTCGACAACTGGTATTTTTTCTCATCTTGCATATCTCACCAAAATTTGATGCTGTAAGCCTTTTTTTTCTTTCATTGTGCCAATCATTACTTAGACTTTGTTCTCTAGTTACATATTCTAAGTCTTCTCTATTGACTTCGTTTAATTGTTTTAAAAAATTTTTTTTTTTCTTCTTTAAATCGTTGTCACTAATTAATCCATCTAATGGTTCAGCGAGCCCATAATCTGCGTCTGGACCACTATACTTAATCATTGGTTTTTTCCGTTTTCCACCTTCACAAAAAAGTTTTCTTCTTCTCATAACAGTGTTTTTCCGTATTCTTTCAATATTGGACATGTATCGTTTAGCAGTTTTACCTATAAAAGTATTATAAATAATAAGCGAAAACTATTATGAAAACAATTATAATAGAAATTATATTATGAATGGTTATAAATTATAATTTACCAGGACTAGCGGTTGTCATTTTTTTATGTAGAGTTCTCAAATAATTTTTTGAATTATACGATAAAATTGCAGCTTCCACTCGGGTTTTATAATTATTTTTTTGTGTATAATTAATACGTTTTCCACCAACATGTTTGTTAATTATACTATTCAATTGTTCACATGGATTATTGTCGACATTTTCAATTAAACTATCAGCGTGTGTGAGTAATCTGTATACAACATTATTTATACTTGTCATCATTTTAGATTGTTCTGCCAATGGAATAAGATTTATTTCGCCAGATTTTGTCCCCGAACAAAAATAAACAGCACAGTTATTGTGCTGTCCTAATCTATGGTACGGACTATTTGAAATATCTTTTCGGAGTTCTGAAATCAAAATGTATAATATATTTTAAAAGTAATAATATATTTATATTTTACATTCAATTTCATTAAGTAAAAAAATTATTATCTACCTGCAATCTTTGTTTGAAATGGTATATCAGAGTTGATGTAATGTTTAGTTGCCTTTGTTATATCTGAGCGGAATCTAACAATATTTGTTAAAATATGCTTCCTAATTGAAATAGGATAGTCCGTCTGTTTTGCAATTGCTGATAACTTTGTAGTGTAATTTCTGAGTAGGTGATTTTTACATTCAATTTTCTTAACTCTAAAATCATTTCCATACGGCAATACCTCATTTAAACGCTTAGTTACGGAACTATCACCGTCACCTATAGAAGTATAGGACAAATTATTATTGTTGTTGTTTCTAATTTATAATAAAAATATCCATTATACCTATCAGTTTGTTATATTTCAAACCATGCATATTAATACTATTCAAAAATCCTTCCAATATTGTATCTGCTTCCATTGCCGTTGAAGATGCTTTCCAATTTAAGAAGCATTGATGATTACTGGGCTCTATTTTTTTGGTTAAAGCTCGTTGACAAATGCAGCAATAGCTATTTCTTATACCAAGAAATAACACCTTTTTAGTTTTAAAACCAATGATAGTAGCCTAAAAACACATGACAAATAATAACAATAATACTATCTATAAACATAAAAATACAATCTTACTGCTCCTGAAAACGCATTATATTTGGTCTTATAACTTCTTTTCGACCACTGGCCGTCTGCAATAACAGTGCACATAGGAACACCGTCTTTGTCCACATTACCACATTCTATAGCCAATCGCCGTTCTTCCATACCAGCTTTAATAATTTCATCTAAAGCAGTATCTTCAATTGACTGACTAACCGAAGACAAAGTATTTAAATACCCGAATGTTGACAAAAATGGAATGTCAGCCGAGGAGGAAAGTTCAGTAAGCTGTGCATGACCAATTCCTATAGTACAATAAAAATTATTGAATTTTCGCTTACGGAAAACCCGGGGTATTTACTACCTACATACAGTTTGTTTTAGAGTTTTAGATAAAACAATAAAATATTAAGCTAATCAAATAGTTTATATTTCAAAAATAAGTTGCTAAAAAAATGAGTAGGTAAGACGCGTATAATATCATGAAATCCGTACCAATAGCTATACTGCCGTTTACTAAGGCTTTATTAATTGGCAAATAGTTACAGTCTTGTTCGTTTTCCGATGTGAACAACGACGTAATACCACACATTTTGCATCGGAATTTAAAAGTTGAGCTATACCCTCTACTGTGCTCGGTTAGAAATTGCATATCTAAAAACGAGCATTCCAATTTTCCATGCCGGCTATTTTGAATCTGAGAAAATAAATGACTTATATTCACAATCCTACGTCCTTCAAGAGATCTGTAAAAAGTGAAAAATTACCTTTTTTTTAATAATTGAATAAATGCATCGATTATGCTAAATGTTATTGACAATTATAGAAAAAAAAAAATTTAAAAAGGTGGGTAAGTGGATGTCGCTCTGCTGTATAGTAGATTACAAGTATTTATTATTTGATATGATATTAAGGTGAATCGTGTAATTTATATATAAGCTATTTACGTGGAATCTTGTTTTAAATTTTCAATCCTTAGCTATAAAAGTTGAACATTTTATAAATTTTTAACTACAAAATAATTATGAAATTTTAAATTTGATAAATTTTGTTAAAATTCGATCTTTAAATGCTTATAAAAAAAAATTATTTCTATGTATTTTTAATATTTTGCAACTGCTATTGTAACAATATACCAGAAGCCTTGTATTAAATTTTTACACTTTTTGGCCCAACAGATAAAACTTTATTGATATTTATAGAAAAAAAAACTAAAAAAATTGAAAACTGACAATATCCGTAAATAGCTCAAAAAAGTAAAATTATTTTCACAACTGTATGGTGTATAGGAAATGCTAATATACACATTCAGTGAAATTGTCAACTATCTACAGTCATTTGTTTTTTAATTACAATAAAATAAGAAAATCGTTACATGAGAAATCGACAGACACAAAAAAAATTTAAAAAAAAAACACACATCATTGTAAAATCAATGCATTTATCGCTTCTCTCAGAATCTAAAATTGAAAACGGAAAATGTCGGTAAATAGCTCAAACCTAGTCAAAATATTTTCAAACTTGTATGGTGTATATAGAAAATACTAATTTAAACATTCAATCAAAATTTCATGTATCTATTATTTATTTACTATGAATTTTTAAAATGGTATTTTTCAATGTTTACGTGCAAAAACTTCAAAAGTAAGTATGTTAGGTAAGTTTTGATTTTACCAATATATTAAGCGTTAAAAAGTACACTTTGAAAAAAAAAAAATTTTAAAATATACAATTCTAAGTATTTTTTTTTTAAAAAAATGCACGTAATGAAAAAATGAAGTTTTTGAAGTTTCTGATCAATAACTTCAAAACTAAGTTTGTTTTGGCTTTTTTTTACATTCTTATAAAGCACACTATAACACACAATTTGGAAAAAAAAAATGAAAATCAATAGCTAAACTAGAATCGTTCCAAAAAAATTGTGACTAAGGATTTTTAATATTTTTCATCTTCCTTACACTGTTCAAACTATTTTGACTCTTTTTGAGCTATTTATAGCCATGATAATTTTTTAAATGTTGTAAGCTATTTTTCAGTTAAAAATTCATAAAATATAGTTACGGAACTTGGTTATTAGATTTTTATTGGGAAATAAAGTTACTCTATTACAATTTTTAAAAAGTTTATAACATTGGTAATAATCTGATTTGAGTTTGTGTAAATTTAAAAATATATATTTGTACGAGAACCTATTTAAAATTATTGTGCCGTAAAACAAAAAAATTAATAAACAAACTTATACCAAAGTTTTAAATCATAGATATAAATAGAATTATTTTTATGAATTTACAATTCAAAATACTTTGACAATTTTGTGATTTTGACGAATTTTGTAAAATATTTTAAAATACAACCTTGTAAATTATAATTTAGGTACCTACCCTAAAATTGTATCATCAAAACTAGAATTTTCATATTCAATACATAAGCTGTGTTCCATAACTTCAGCTTCATCAGACGGCATTTCAATAGCTGGGCTTGATGGTGTACTAAATGGAACATTTTGATTTTGTGTCGACAGGCTTACATTTTCGGTCGATATGGTACGGAATAAAGACATTTTCGGAGTAGTTTCTATTTCATTATTAAAATGCTCAGAGGTCGACTTTCTTTTTGATAAATTTACAAAATTATATAAAAATTAATATTTGAATTATATACATAATATTAAAATTTAAAACTATTTATTAGTAGCAACTAGCAGGTACTTACCGTATACTTATACTAATACCTTTCTGAACATTCTTCATTTTTTTATGGTTACCTTTTTTACCTATTCGAGCTCGTTTATTAGAGAGCGATCTTGTCTTTTTCGGTGACATTTTATTAAAATTAACACAACCCAGTTAAATAAAAATTGGTGACAAAACTACAAAATATGCGTATATTTCGTATAATAATAAAAGAACATAGGAGTATAGGACGCTCGTATACCGTCTATACTATCTAACACTGAATTATTAGTGCCGTTACTATTCGATAATAGTACAATAATTGTTATAATTATTACAACAACATTAAAGACTCAAAACTCGTTAAACGCGGTGACGGAAACAGCCATAAGCCCATTATACTTTCCTAGTATCGCCGGAATTGTCAACGTCTATAAAAATAGCATATAGGATGGTGACTGGGGAGTGGGGAGTGGTCGACAATAATTAAGCCGTTCGCCACCAGAGTCCAGAGAATAATAATAATTATAAAAATTAATTTTCAGCATTTTGATACAATAAAAACTGCTTTGCGCGGGACAACTCTACGAAGCTAATATTCATAGTAGATTCACCAAATTTTTTTAATAAATAAAAGAGAATTGTATCTGTGTCGTAGCGTTTATCTTTTTTTGATATCAATACTCGTTAGTTATTTATAAGCAAATGAAAAAAACAAAAATTAATGAATCTTTCCGATTAAATAACTTGGATTGTGTTTAAGTTATCAAAAAAGTAAAAACGCTACGACATAGATAAAGTTCTATTTTGTTTATTCTGAAAATTTGGTGAATCTACAATGAATATTGGCCTTGTAGAGTTGTCCCCCGCAAAACCATTTTTACGCTTAAATTATGGCTGGTGTAGCGTCCTCTTAAGACTCAAAAAATTGACCTCTAATAGGTACCTATAATAAATTCCAAATTAATCATATCACAATATGGTTAATTTTCCCGGCGCTTATGAAAACTATTGGAAATATTAAATTTTGACCTTAACAATGCATCAACGATATTCACTTTCCAATCGAACAAGATACTGAAGTTGAAAATCGAAGCATTATTTCGACTACTTATCGTGCACACAGACACAAAAAAAAAAAACACATCATTGTAAAATCAATACATTCGTCGTTCCACTCAGAATCTAAAAAAAAACTGAAACAACACATTCGGGTGTGGCGTCATCTCAAAATATTGAAATTTCATGAAAATAGGGTGAAGACCTTCTCTGACGACTGACAGGGATTTCTTACTAAATATTATCT